TCCCGCCTGCACACAACAATAAATCAGAACCAGCCATCCGGACAAGCAGAGTCCCCAAGAGCAGAGCCCTCTGCAGGCCTTAGGACTTCCTGTCTATCCTCCTGTCCCCTAAGAGGGTATCTTTAAAACCTAAGTCGGGAAGAATAACACACTATTGTAATAAAAACTCTTCTTCTGCAAACCCATTTACCTGTGGTACCTCGGCATCTGAAACCAGAGTTTGACTTACTGTTTCCTAGAGGATTGGCTTTATTAGCAAGCCTGCAAGAATGCTTAGGTACCCGATGACCGCTACCCCGAGGAAGTGGTCCTTCCCCAGCCAACAAATGATCTGTTTTCTGTCATCATCGATTGGTTTGCATTCTCCAAAATTTCATGTAAACAGAAATTATACAGTATATACTTTTTTTGTCTGTCTTCTTCCACTCGGCATAATTATCACCAGATTCATCCACGGTGTTGGATGCATCAATAAGAGCCTATTTCTTTTTATTGCTGAATAGTAATCCATCGTAATAGATACACCACAACTTGTCTACTCGTTCACCTGCTGAGGCATGTTTGAGTTGTTTCCCAGATTTTGTCTATTACAAATAAAGCTGATATGCATATGCATGAGTGAGTCTTTAAACACACATATGCTTTTATTACATATTTTATAATCAAAATACATGTTTTGCAAATGTTTTCTCCCAATGTGACTTGCCTTTTTATTTTTTTAAAGTGTCTTTAAAAGACCAGTGATGAAATTCAATTGTCTCCCCCACCTTTCTTTCTTTTTTTTTTTTTCCATTTATAGTTCACGTTTTTGTGTTCTGCTAAAGAAATCTTTGTCAAACCCAAGGTCACTATGCTTATGTTTTCTTCTAAAAGTTTTATATCCCAACTCTTAGGTTTAGGTCTATGACCTATTTCAAGTTAATTTTTTGTATAGTCTGTTATATAATTAAAGTCTATATCTATAAAGAGTTTATAGTATCACAAAAATACTGATTTATAAATATTAACTAAAGAGGGCCCGATACAAATTTTTATATACAGTACAGACACCACCTGATAATCAAGTTTTGACAAAAACAAACCGAGGGACAAAACTCAAGACCAGAAGGAAGAATATAAGGAAACATCCTACAATGTTTTAATTACTATCTTTAGGTAATATGACCACCAACTACCACTATGACAAAAATAAATTGGAGTATTAACAAAAAATTGCTTAAGAGAAGTGACTCTTTCTGACTCCAGGCCGCCTTCATGCTGCTCTGTGGTACATAGAAGGCCTTTGGAGAACCTGACAGGTGAAACCACTACCAAGCATCTGCCCCTCTCAACCCCACTCAATTTTGCTTAAGAGCAGGAAGAGGTGAATTTCCAGAAAGAATTCTCCAAAGAGAATGAGAGTTTAGCCGAAGGTACCAGATGAAACCAAATGCAAACAGCACCCTAATCAAGGAGAAGAATCCCAGCAGGGAGGGCTGGTCGCCCTGCTCAGCCCCACTGAAACTGCCAGCCCTGACACGCTGTAGGCACAGATGTAGGTGTCAAGCAGCTTCTGCATCCACTCAATCTTCGCAGGCAATGAAAGCTAATGGAATTCTTCCGCTGATGTGCTCACTGTCCTTCTGTCTCGATCTGCTTGCAAAGACAGCGTAAGTCTGGAGCCTGGCGATCAGCCTAAGGCTAGCCTTGCTGCCGCCGTCTGCGCGTGCTGCCAACTGTCTGGCCGGCAGGCCTTGCCTCTTGAGCTGCTGCGGAGGCCAGCCTGGCTGGTGGTGATGCTTACAGATGTTTCACAGAGAGGAAGATTACTTCCCTGATTGATGAACAAATAGAGTTGTCAACATGGTCTCCCTGGTCAGGAGGGGACCCCTGAAGTATATGTGGAAGGACAGATGTTTCATCTGGGAAGGTGTCCAAGACCGGAGAAAGATGTGTGCACTCGGCGGATACTGTGGGCTGAAGCATTCAGCCTCAAGAGGAAGCGGAGGAAGGCTGGGTACACAAGCACAGCCGACACACTGCAGGGCTTCCCTGGGCCAGGCCTCCTCCCAGATCCTGGTAAGGGACGCAGCCTCGGCCAAAGCCTCCTCATTGGGCCATTTTTCCAATGAATGACCGGGACCTGTTCTCAGGAATACAGTCATTTTCTTATTCCTGATACTCCATGGATCACAAAGGGTACAGCAGAAATGGCCCTGTAACTCTCATGCTAAACCTCAGAGGCTTCCTTCCTCCTGTAGGAGCTGTAAGAGGCGAGCACAGCCAGGCTGGGAAGGGGCCATGGCACCTGTAGGAAGTGACTGTCACTCAGGAGCATGCAACTTTGGGGGTTTCCTGCTGACTTTCCAGAATGATGTAGACAAAAACAGCTATTATCAAAATTATTTTAGTAATTGTAAGAACTATCATATTTAATACTAGACTGGGTGATTTTACACACCATCATTTTAATGAACTCTCACACAAACATTCACAAAAAATACCCTACAAAAGGATTCATAAAATGTACTAACCATAAACCCTCTGTGTGAGAATCACTAGAGGATGTATTCGAGCACATGGAAAAAAGAAATGGGACAAGGGCTGTCATTAAACCTATTTAACACATGAAGAAGCGCAAGTTCAGAAAGATAAAGTAACTTGGCAAGGTCCCTTGGAAATAGGAAACAGTCAACCTGGGAACTGAGCCCAGATTGGTCGCATTTCCAAATCTATGCTCTTCACCACTACAATTTTGCGGTCACCAGGAGGCATAGGAGACGAGGATAACATTTTCAACATAAGCAAAAAAGTGTTAGTGCTTCCAACACAGAAACATGGCATGCCCAGAAAAACACCATTTACACCTGAATGTGCCTGAATCTCAATAAGGTTGCTGCCTCTGTCTCAAACATATTTGAGTTGAAAACTAAGAATCTTTTATCTGGCACGTCCAGAAATTCTAGGAGGAAATATGCAGTGCACTCTCCATCTTACACACACACACACACACACACACAGAGCCAGGTAGCTGAATAACTTAGAGCACCATCCCGAAGGGATGGGTATTTGCAACACAACACGCCACATCTTCTCTCCATCACAGAAGGAGAAGAAATCACTTGTGCCAGGAGAATCCAGGCTAATTTTCTCAAAGGATGTATACCTTAACAGAAACTTCAAAACAAACAAACAAAATATGTTTTTTTTACAGCCCGCTTTCCAGTGAACCTGATTTTCCTTGAGGGTAGGAATAGGGTCTTTTGTTTAACTCTGTAGCCTTACCTCCTAACGCAAGCCTGGCACATGGTATTTAATGCCCTTGTGCTGGATGATAATGAATACATGACTAGACAAGAACAGAAGGAAGAGGTCAACCTAACGCAGGGGTCAAGAACATAAGAGCTTTGGAGCCAGACAGTCCTGGGTTTGCATCATGGTTGCAGCTTACTCGATATACGAGCAAATTACTAATGCCTCTCTCTGCCTCAGTTCTCTTATTTGTAAAGTGGAGACAAAATAAACACCAACTTTACAAAATGGCTGGAAGAATTCAAGGATGTGGGTGCCAAGCACAATGCTGAGGGTTCCAGGAAAAGGATCTGTCTTTACTACCAGGAACGACACTTCAGACTGGGGAAAAGCAAAGCACATTAGAAGACCTGCATCTTGGTCTTACAGAGACAAGGTGGCTGATTATTTTTAAAATGACATTGACAGTAATCTAGGGCAAGATGACCCTGAAGGCTTTGTCTGTTGCTGCAAATTCCATGTTTAAAGAAGTCAGGTGTTGGTGGGGCTTTGAATTGTCACCCCATGCTGGGAGCTCAGTTTATCTGCCAGACTGTGATCAGAGGGTGGCACATTCAGAGGAAACGACTTGGGAGATTGAGGGAAACTGGGACATATCCCAAGAGGAGAAGCCAAGGGAACCAGCACTGCTTAGACTTCAAGAACTAAGGGATGGGACAGAACCTATTCTGTAGGGTCCCGGGAGGTCGAAATGGAGCTAATAAAGTTCTAGGGAGGCAGATTTGGGTGGGAATCAAGTATCAGAAACGCTGATTTACCTGCCTAAGGTCATGGTGTGGTGTAGGTGAATGGCACAGCAAGTTGCCAAGTCCAGAACTGGGAACGTGTAACTCCAAAGCTTTGATCGCGCAGGCAGTGCAGGAGGAAAGGCGGAACATGCACTGAAATCACCTTTCTCCCACCCCCACCTGCCCAACTCCCTTCTTAAGGAAAGCCTGTCTGCCTGTGTGTGTGTGTTTGTTTTCATGCTTTGAGTATTTTTGCAGGACTAAAGTAGAAGCAGCCTGAACTCAAAGATCTTTCCATCACTTGTAAAAGCCTAACCCCATAATGGATGGACAATGCTGGGAGTGGAGTTGGGACAGGTAAGAGACAAGGGTTCTAAGGACCCTGGGGAAAGGGGGCTACTTCCCTTTGGGCTGGGGAATAGGGGGTGACAGGTATCACACTCTGAGGAAGTAGCAAGACATGTTCCCAGGTGGAATGGTGGTGTGATGGTCCCGAGAAGGTGGGCCCCAAAAACCAAGGCTGGCAAAGATGCCACGTCCCACAACGGCACAGAAGCAGAGAATCCCCAGACCTCAAGAGACCTCAAAGAATCATCATAGTGAGTCTGTCAGTATAATCAGGGGACTAGAGCTTTGGCCCATGCTTTCTTAGTTGTAAGTTCCCTGGATCCTGACATTGCTCTGGGAGGAGGAAAGGTCCCAGTAATGACTGAGAAGGGATTTTCCACTCATCTGCTCAGATGAGGGCTCAGAGTCTAAATGAAGTAGACTTAAAGGAAATAAAGGTTGCCATTTGGTAAATCTGTGTTTGAGAACTGAGATGCATACCACAACAGGAGTACAGGTACCAAATGCCATATGAAATGGCGACATAGACGCTACGTTCGCCCCTTCCTATGTCCCCAGTCAAAGACTGAGCCTGTGCCAATCAGCCAGCTACAGGACACCCCCCAGCCTCCTGCCACCTCCCTTCCTCCTCACCTGGGGAGCAGGTGCTTGCGGCTGACACACAGGGCCGCCTGGTAGTCCTGGGTCACACACACTTTGTGAGGGCTGCACTTCACCTTCAGGCAGGGGTCCTTGGACGGGTCCAGGGCTGAGGCAAAAAGAACAAGAAGGGAGTTGTTAGAATCTCCAGGGAAATTTCATTTCTATTTATACTTAAATAAACAAGCAGGAAATAAACCAACCGTGTGTTTGCACTCTGTGTTGTTTCCTGAGGCCGGTGGGGATTGGAATGAAAACCCAAGCCAAGGGGAGTGCGTGTCTATCACACACATCCTTCCACACCAGGAGAGGGACCCCTGGGTGCTGTGGGAGTCGCAGCATCTTCTTCTTGGGCAGGAATTACTTTAAAAAAATCCTTTAGATTCTTATGTGATCCAAGGACCAAGAGCTATTTTTCCCTCTTTGCTTATTTATCTGGTGTGGCTTTTTTAAATGATTTCATCCATGCCTAATTTTACTTACATCCCATAGAAAGTCCTTGAGGACAGAGGGTTTTGCTTCAATTCAATAAACACTGACTAGGCGTGTAAATAACCTATTTGAAGTTTTTGCAGAACTTCAGGATGTGTATGACAGTTTTGTGCCACATAGAGTTACAATGTAATAGGGAGGGGGGAAGGCTTGCACATAAATATTTATTGTGTGAGGGAGAATTAGATAAGGACCATGACGGGCATATAAAATGATAACAGAGCTCAAGAGAAAAATAGAGATCAATTTCTAGGGCAAAGATTAGTGAAGCATTAATATGTGAATTGGATCTTGAAGGATGGGCAGGATTTTGAAAAGCAAAGATAGAAAAAGCAATCTAGGCAGGGTGACCAGCACAGCAAGTGCAGGGAGGCATGTTCAGGCAATCATAAGATACTCAATCTGACTATTAAGTGTGGTTGCTGGGTGGCAATAATTAGAGGAGGGGAAGTTGATTCAAACAAGTAACTCCAGAAAGGGTCTCCAAAGACAGCAGTTCGTATAGTGCAACATTTTCTAGAGTAGGCTGAGCAGCAGGCCCTGGGCTAATCAGCGCTCTGCATGCTGAGGTGCACATGCTCATCATTGGCACAGAAGAGGCCTCAGGGAATTCTGTGCAAAACAAAAGCAATTGTGCCATCTCCCTGCTCCGGGGCCTAAAGCCTATTAGGCAGTAAATCTTTCATAACTGCTTTCCACAGTCAGGGGAGGTGATATCGCCCCATGTCCTCCCCACGCAGACATTTGGTTAAACAAATTGGCATCCCGAGCAGGTACAGCAAAACTGCTATGAGAAATGTCATGGTCAAACAAACAAAAGAGAAATGCCACAGTGCCCTCAACCACGGGGCTCTCAGCCACTGTGACTCCAGCACATACAGGAAGTCACGATGTCCCTCCTCCTGCCCAGGCCCAGAATCTGAGCACCACTTTCTTTAGATGGCTGCCGAGAATTTCTCAAAGGTCCGGAACACACAACATCTAAAGGCATTTCTGCTGCGTGAACAGCCTAGCATGGCACCTCCCCTGTGGCAGCTTCAGCAGCTGTGAACAGAAACCAGAGTGCGTTCCCAGGCCAGGTGGGACAGCAACAAGATCCAGTCCCGGTCCTGGGGGACACACTGGGAGCTTCACAGAGGGACACAGGCTGCAAGATGAAAGAGAAGCTGATTCCAGTCCCAGGGACAGGGTGTTCACTCCTAGCTCTCAGGCTGAGGGCTGCCTCTGAGACGCAAGTGGCAGGGGGCCCCGTGTCAGTCCTCTGAGGCTGGGCCTTCCAGAAATGTGCAGAAAGAGCTTCCTGGTCCCAAGTGGAACTCTCTCGGTTCCTGGAGATGTCTGTGTGAGCAGCCAGGAGGCTGTGTGGTCTCAGGCCAGGGGCCTTCTCCTGTGCACACCCCCAAATCTCTGCCAACCCCAGGACTACAGCACAGGAACTTTGACTTGCTCCCCAACATGCATGCAAAATTGAGTCAACAATTACGAATGATTACCAGACAACCATGTCAGTTCTTACAGATCTCACGAAACTTGGGGATCAGACCACTGGCAGCCCCAGTCATTTTCCCCAGTGGGTGCCAAGTGCTGTGGCAGAGAACTTGGGATTTTCACTTGAGTGGGTCTCAGAGATGGAGACTAGCAGGCTGGCCTAGGGTGACAGGTGCTGAAATCTCCAGGACTACATGCCAAGCTTTACAGCAGCATTTGGGCTGCTTTTTGCTTCTGGCCTGAATGGCTAGTGGAACGTGAATCAGCTGAGCACAGCAGGGAAGAAAATAGACTCCAGGGCTGGAGCTTCCAGGACTGAATCCTGGCTCCGTTGCTTACTAAACCTTTGTATGCCTCAGTTTCCTCATCTATAAAAACTGGATAATAACAGTGCCTAGTGCTGTTTGTCGGTTGTCATGAGCATTAAATGTGTTAGTATCTGTAAGTGCTTAGGACAGACCTGGTACATATCAAGCACGTTGTATGTGTTTGTTAAGATTTTTGTGCTCGTCCTTTGTTCCAGAGTAAATAACAAGCCCTCATATTAACCACAGTAACACTGGTGCTTCTGAGGGACAGGCAGTGAACCGAGCCCTCTGATCACATTTGATCTTCATAACCACCCAAGGAGGCAGCTGCTCTTGTTAACGTGCCCATTTTACAAAAAAAGGTCTCAAAAAGAAGTTGCTGATGAGAGATGCAGAGAGTATTTGCACACTTGGTCTGCTGACTCTAGAACCCAAACTCCTCACCACTGTGTGCCTGCCACCAGCTTGAGAATCACTCAGGAGCCTCTTTAAAAAGTTGACTAATGGCACCATATTCTTGAGAGGGCTTCAGGACAGAATGAGGCTTCCTGGGTCAAAGGAAGGGGCAGCTAGGTGCCCAGTGCTGTGGAGGCTGCGCCTCCATACCCTCTCAGTGTGTCCCACGGGACTGGGTCACCAGCCTCAACAATCAGCCAGGGGGTGGGGTGCCCAACCCTGGACACCTGAGCCCTGTGCCAACCCCTATGAGCACAGCAACCCCCCAGCTGAGTCAACTGAAGCATGCTCAGGTCAGTTTTGTTTCTGCGATCTTGCCATCTGTCATCCTACCATTAGGCTAACTGCGATAGCCCATCCCTCCGATTCTGGAAGCTACCATTTCTTAAAAAATCACCAACCAAAGAAACCTCCAACCAAAAATACTAATCAATAAAAACTGTCAGTTATTCAACTCTGTACACACATTTAACGATGTGAATACAGAAATCAAGTCTACTAAAAATCAATTACTAGGGTCTGAATGCTTCAAACACGTATGCGAATTATTTAGAGTAAATGAACTTCACACAACAACAAAACAGTAACAAATCAAGCTGTCAGCATTTGTTTAATCACCTCAACACATTTTGGTTTTTGAAAAATAGCAACACTGGGATTGAAAGGGGATGAGGAGTGTGTCGTTTCCATTTACATGCAGGCCTCCCAAATATGCTTTTCCTAGCAGCCACAAGGCTGTGACCCTCCTGCAAGGCACCCGGCACCTGTACTGGCCAGGCCTGTGTGGCTCCACTTCCTGAAGGGAAGGATAAGAGATCAGAATAGTAAGTGACATTTGAGACTCCTTTTAATAAGGTGGGGGCAACTGCACCAGAAGGGAAGGTGGGGAGAGAGCTGGGTGTGAGAGCCCTGAGCAGGGTTCGAGGCTTCCTTGCTGTGGTGCTAATGGTATTTGGGGATGTGCTCCAAGTTTCAGTCTCTCTCTGCACATGCTTAGTGACAGGATCTTGGTGACAGGCAGCAATCTCCAGAAGACAGAAAAGCCCTGTGTCTCCTACACCTCTTTCATCACAATACCTGCAGGACTCATGTGGCCCTAACGAGGATACTGTGCCCAGCAGAGAGCAGGTCCCACCCCTGACCAAAGGTTAATTTCATCTTTCCTGCCCATACCCAGAAACCAACCGGGGATCAACTGACCAATGGCTCATGTCCAGTCATTTTTTCAAAATAATTTTTACAAAAAGTTTTCTCAAAGAAAAAAAGCAATAATGAATTAATTTAAAGAGAGATTTGTTGAGCTGAAAACCATTGAATTCAAAAGCTAGTTAATTACTAACTCAATGTAAAGGTTTTTTTAATTAATTTTACTTTTTTTAAGCTCACAGCTTGGTCTCAATTAAGGTGGTGATATTTTAATCATCTTAATTGTTTCTGAACTTGTTTTTCAGTTCAACGAGTTATTTTTTAATTAGCTACATTGATTTTAAAATCCTGAATCAAGACTTTTCCCTCTCCTTGGGCACATCCTATAGGCTAATTGGCAAAAGGTCATGGCGCCTGAAACACGAGAGCTTGACAGCACCTCAGAGATGCTTAGAAGAAGAGGTGGTTCCATTTTGTGGGCTGGATAAAAGGGTCCCTTATTGTCACCTAAGGGAAATCACACACGCTTGTGTTTATTCACTTAACATTTGCAGAGCATCATTCTGTGGGAGGCATCTTTTTGTAGGCTGCAGGCAAGCACCTCTGCAGCAAAAAGATGCCATTTCTGCTCTCCAGGGGCTCACATGTGAACAGAGGAGACAGGCAATAGAGACTTCTATGGAGACAGGTGAGGTACCCAACTCAGCCTTTTAGGGGGACAGGTGAAACGTTCTCGACAAACTGACACCCATGGAAAAGCAGGTTTAAACCAGGTAAAAGGATACGGAAGAGCATTCCAGGTATTCTCTCTTTCTAGGGGTTAGAGAGATTGTGGCAATTTGGGGGAAGCAAAGTGTTTCACTGGGCTGGCAGCAGGAGGGGGCAGGAGTGATATGTGATAAAGCTGGGGGGGGGCATGGTCACAGATGGCATAGAAACCACAGGGAAACTCTGGTCTTCATGTTCAGTCAAATGTGGTACAACCTGGTGACCTCTGACACACCCTCCCATTCCAAAGGTGGGAGAGCGCAGCAGGAAGAGGGAACCCTGTATGTGCATTTCATGTAGAAAGTGGCCCTTTGATAAGAACAGGCTGCACACTCTCTTCCTGCAAATGGGAGGGGACATCAGGGATTCAGGGCCCAGTGGTCAACTCTTAGAGCCCCCTTCTTCTTTCCAGAAACCTCCTTGCTCTGACTCCCTGGGGACATTAAGCCAC